TTTCGCAATGTGTAATTAAATTCACTTTAACCAAGACTTTTCTTAAAATAAACGACGTTTTTTTACGAAAAAACAAAGAACGATTTGAAATGCAATATACTTTTCACAATCGCACGGAAGAATTAGTTTTGTATGCCGCGTCAGACGACAGGTCCGTCAGAAACGCCAACTATTGAAATTAATTCGAAGTGGCGATTCCCATACAAAATTTTTAGAATTTTTTTATTTTTTAACTGTTCTTTTAAGTTATCCTTCTTTTTTTTATTTATAAACCATCCCCGTAATATAAAAAAAATTTCAAATCGATCAAGCCGTTTTTGAGTCTTAGCGAGACTAACAGGAACAGCAATTGATTTTCATTTTATAGACGATTAAAAAATGGGGGTTGGTGGTAGAAAGGTAAAAATTTAGGGTTATGTGTATTTTTTGATGCCAAATCTTAAAAAAATAAAAGTAAAAAATTTTGGCCAAAAAATAGACAAACATTTTTTAGGGTGGACCACCCTTATCACTTAGGGATTTAAAAAATAGTTTACAACTTATTGTCAGACCTACCGAATATACATAAGAAATTTCATAGAAATCGGTCAACCCATTTCGGAGAAGTTCGGTTACAAACACTGTGAGGCGAGAATTTTATACATAATGCATTATTTTAGAACAAATTTCATTACCATAAAAAAGGTTATATGTACTAACTCGACCTTAAAAGATAGACATATGCTGTCGCGGACTTTTCTTTAGAACTTTTAGAGGGGAACAATTTCGTCATACATGATTTTTACGTAACTTTAACCGTTTAAGCAGCGTAAGCAACGGAAGCTGTCAAAGGAGGAATAATTTTCCCGTTTTTCCGAATTTTTCATTGCTACTTCGCTCCTAATGATCGTAGCGTGATGTTATATAGCCTATATGTAGATATGATACATGGACTATCCAACACAAACAGATTTTTTGAATTTGAACCAGTAGTTTCTGAGATATGCGTGTTCAAATAAACAAAAGCTTCAGCTTTATTATATAAGTATAGATTAATATCTAGACATTACAGAATGTACACAATTTCCTACATTAAAAAGTAGACGGTGCATGGTTGTAATTAAATTCTTGGGGCAGTTGACAGTATCACATATTGATTCTCCTGTTTTGTTGTCGAGCATTTTTATTGTAGAAAATGTGACATATTTTATCTTGAAAGAGCTAGAAACAAACATTCTGCAAATGTCCCCCATGCATCAAATGAACTTTCTTACTGTCAATAAAACAATGTGGATATTTTCATCTAAACAGATGAAACGTTTTATTAGTGCAATCATATAATGAAAATGATTAGTTACCTACTTATTATAGCTATAGTGCTTAAGTTAACTTACACTAACTTGTCCTATCTGGACCGAAACTAAGAGAACAAGCAAGGAATGGCATCACGCCTCTTCACCAAAACCAAAAAAACTTTGGATAGAAAATTACTATGAGCTTTTTTTGGAACGCAAAAAGGATAATTTTGGAAGAGTGCATGGCTACTGTTATCAATACCACATACTCAGAACTTCTTAAGAACCATCTGCCATCAGAACAAAAAGGCGCGAGTTTCTGAATAATCAAGTTTTTTTGCAGCACGATAACGCACGGATGCGCACTCTACGTTTAACGGTGACAACCATCCAGGATTTGAAGTTTCACTATCTCCTTATTGTCCTGACCTAGCCTCACCCGATTACCATGTCTTTGGTCCCCTTAAAAAGGCATTAGATAGAAAGAAATTTCAGAAAAAATGGTGAAGCGATACAGGTGCAAGAAAAGTTGGTTTTTAACCAAGCCGAACTATATCACTTTGTTGATGTTTATACCAAATTAGTGATTCGAATCTCAAGAGTACTACTTGTTTTCAAAAACAATTTCTTCTGATTACAATATATTAACGCAAAATGTTGCCCATTACTTTTTTTCCTTTCACCAATATAATTCCAAAAAGCTTTTAGGATGCATTAAAGCTTCAGGAGAAATACATCTAATCACCTCCGTAATTTTTTGTTCGAAACGTTCAGTGTTATTATTTAATTGTAGTACCTAATATAAACTTTCCCTTTCACTGTATCCCACAGAAAAAATCTAAGGGGTCCATATGACAACTTCTCGAGAGTACAGGATGAATAAAACCTCCCAATCTATTTGTTGGAAAAGTTTCGTCAAGGTGCTCCATTTTGTTGAAACCACAAATTTTGACGTATCTCCAAATTAACATTTTCTAGAAGAAGTGGTCATGTACTCCAAAGAAAATTCAGATAGAAATTTCAATTTAAATATTCCCGGAAAAAGAAGAGATCAAGAATTTGTATTCCGAGTATTCCATACCAAATATCTGTAGAAGTGATTTGAAATGCTTCTGTCAAACCTTCTGAGATTGTCTTCAACAAACTCTAAAAATAGTACTTCACTGTTAAGACCGACAGAAATATGCGCTGCTAAAGACGCGTTCTTGTTGCATTCACCATAATTCAAAAGTTTATCAACTTTCCCATCGTTCGAACGCATTATCCGAAATTTCAATTTAAATATTCCCGGAAAAAGAAGGGATCAAGAATTTGTATTCCGAGTATTCCATACCAAATATCTGTAGAAGTGATTTGAAATGCTTCTGTCAAACTTTCTGAGATTGTCTTCAACAAACTCTAAAAATAGTACTTCACTGTTAAGACCGACAGAAATATGCGCTGCTAAAGACGCGTTCTTGTTGCATTCACCATAATTCAAAAGTTTATCAACTTTCCCATCGTTCGAACGCATTATCCGGAATTTTACTAAAAAATTAAGTTTGAAGTGCAGTTCACGATGTTTTTCGTTGATTCAACATTGATAACGATGAATCAACGAAGACGATGGTCTCTCTCGGGAAATAAAACCCAAGTATCCACGATCGCTTTGAAAATGTATTTTGTGTTGCGTTTTGATTTCATTATTACTCGTGAACCAAAACCGTTGACCAAATAATATGTACTACACAGGGTATCAGATAAACTTTACTCGAACGTAATCTACATTACAGTGAAGTAAAAGTTTTTAATGTTCTTCTAAAATATACCAAAACAATATCAGCAATTCATATATTCCAAATTAAAAGAAAAAAATATCTATATTAAATCGCTGTATTTATATGTACACGTAAAGATTTTAGGAAAAGTTGACCTAAGATAATTTGGTATTAGAATCATTGACAAAGTCCACACAAGATCTGCGGGTCTATTAATTAATAATAATAATAATAATAATAAAGTAATAATAATGTTATGTAAGTAATTTTCTGACAGAAGCTAATTTCCTTCTTGTAAATTGCTGTGACTGGAGTGGGAAGCCAAGATGATGGAAGTGAAAATTTCTGAAAAGATGTTTTAAATATATCTTTTCATAAAAGTTTTTAATATGTGGGAGTAGGTCTATCAAATTCGGTAAATTCTTCAAGCGTTACCTGAGTAACCTGTATAGGCGATATTCAATCCCAACGGCAATGTTCTGTTGCGTAGACGGATGCAAAATAATTAGCCATCGTTTTAGCTAAGTATGTCAAATTCCGAGATTCTTACCTACCCTCACCCCAAAGACTCGTAGTAGTTGAAATTCTTATCGATAATGTGTTATGTTTTGCACCTCTATTAATTAGGCATTTTTCAAAACTTTGTCTTTTCCGTCATCAGATCCTGTTCTTTTGTACATAAGGGTTTCATAGATTGAAAAATTTTCTAACGGATTTAATATTTAATATTTATTTTATTTATAATATTTCTACACAATTCAAAACGATTTCTGCAAAATGCATTCATTTGCTGTTAATACTGTTAAAAGAAGTATCAACGTTTTCGTATGTCTTATGTTTATAGGAGAAATGTTGGTTAAACTTATATTTTATACATGATAGTCACAGGACAGTTGACACAAGTTCTGATTCATTTACAAGAATTAAATCTAGAGGAGATGATTCTTTATTCGGGCGGAGTGGTATATTGTAAGGCCTTTAATTATGTATATATCCAGACTAAGAAGTGCTGGGTATAAATAACTGTTGAGAATTTCTGTTTGTTTCGGGATTGTAATGATGGGTCCGTGTTTTAGCCATAGTTACAATGCAATCTAAAATATTCGAATAATTCTTTTCAAAACGGTGTAAAAGTGATTTCGACATTGTCTGAGTCATTTTTGATTAGCATTCACATTTAGGGGTTCATTGAGCAGATATTTTTTTTATACCCAAATCATGATGTACGATGTTAAGGACACGTCCATAGGAAATGTTTAATGTATATGAATGTAATGAGTAAATCCTCTAAAATCATGACAAGCACAGTATTTTTTTCGGGAGTGGACACAAAAACACGGTGTTCAATCTTGACGTCTGCTTTTACTTGTTCTGATTCGGCAACCCCATTTCTTGTGATGGTATACCAAGTACTATGATCCTTCAATTTGCCCCCACCCATATTCGCATAACTTTTCTTGGGGGCAATCCTTTCGAAAACAATCACCGACCAATATTTAATTTTATCAAAACTAAGAATTTTTTCCTATATCTTTCCCTTAAAATTGAAAGTGTGAATTTTGTTATCAAAATTGGTGGAATTATTTGTCGAACGTCATGCATGCTTGTTCACGGTCACCGCTATCATTTTTGTTTATGGGAAAATTCCGAGGCCAGTTATTTATCAATATCCCCTCCGAATTAACAAAACTTCACACCCGGATCTACATATTTTGTTGTTCGAAAAAAGATGATCTGGGGCTTTTATTTAAATTGTTCGCAAATTTTAGTGCATCGTTTGGATTCATGAGAGTAACATCAGTGTCTTTAAAATTCAACATGTTTCTATAAGACGTCATAATCTTAGTGCTAACTGTTGAGTTGCTGTATGTTAGCAGTATTTTGAAATTTTTGGTGTTGACCAAAAAATTCAAAATACTGCTAACATATAGCAAAAATTACAATATTAACAACAGTAAATCCCTTATTATTAACAAAAACAAACATTATTTTAAATTCATACACACAAAAGTTTCATATTTTACAACTTCATAAACACAATATCTGCACGACTGTTAAATTGAGTTGTAGGTATAATAAGTCTTATACCTTTTCACTAACAAGTGGTTCCGTCAGTGAAATATTCTTGAATTCTTTTGTATAAAGCAACAAAAATAAAACAGAAGTGATAGCCAGTATCCATTCGGCGATGGCACTGGTAAAATGATTGATATAGCCTCCATCTTTTTTCTTCCATTTAGTCGTATCATCTCCTAAAAAATGCATAGATGTATTAAATATTTAATTAAAAACGGCAACATCTGTTGATAACTTATATAATGCACAAAATACAATTTAAGCAAATACCTACAGTGTACATTTAATTATCAAACAACAAAACTGTTTTACGGAGTTAGATGATTTATAGTCCAAAAGCTAACAGATTTGTCCTAGTTTAGAGAATGCGAAAATTTAAACGATTAGTCAAAGCTATTAAAAAGTTTTATTACATTAACCTAATATCAAACTTTTTCCTTAGCAGCTATAACAGTAACGCAACATTTTGTAGACACCGAACTGTCGACCATTTAGTGCAAATGTAATTATGTTTAGGTTTTCTATTTTTGAAATAGAAGCTTAGTTTGATAAATAAATTCCACCGCTTCGCCAGTTTTTGGAGACTTCGTTAGAAATACTTACATACAATAATACTTAGTATATACGAGGGTCAGTCAATTATGAACCGGAATTCTGTTTTTTCGAAAACTGTACTAATTCTAATAAGCTGCCATAAATAGAATATGAAGGTAGGAATGTAGAGAAGGGATGTGGCCATAGCGGCAGCCGATATCTTTTTGCAATGAGCTGTAGCATCATGTCGAAGCAAGCAGTGCCAGCGTCGTTTGCACAACGCATTATCGTTAAATTTCTCGCAAAAGGGGGCGTCAAATCCTCCGAAATTTTAACCAAATTGCTTGCACAGTTCGGGGAAGAAACGTTGTCAAAAACTCAAGTGTACGAATGGTCCAGAAAATTTAAGGAAGGGCGTGAAAAGGTTGAAAATGGGAGTCACCATAGTCCTCACAACCATTTTTTTTTTTTTTTTTTGGGACTGGAGAGGAATATTGCTTGTCGACTTCTTCATGAACGTCGTACTGTGAATGCTCCATACTACTGCCAGCTTTTGGACGATGCAAAGGCCGCGTACAGATCCAAAAGACGCCAAACTCCAATCCGAGACGTAATTTTGCTTCACGATAACGCTCGACCGCACACAGCCCTTTTAACGTCATAAAAATTGGTTGACTTTCACTGAGAAGTCTTCGAACATCCCGCCTATAGCCCAGATTTGTCGTACTGTGACTATCATTTGTTTGGTCCACTAAAAGAGGCAATAGGAGTGCAGCGTTTCAAAAGCGATAACGATGTGGAGCTGTTCGTGCGCAACTGGGTTGTGACACAGCCTCAAACATTTTATGATAAAGGAATTAAAAAGCTTCCTAGACGTTGGCAAAAATGTGTAGCCCTTCAGGCAGACTACGTAAAAAAATTCTAGACTTCGTTTGTACATTTGTACAAACATATACATAAAAAAGGAAGCACTGCGGAAATCAGTGAATATAGGCCAATTGCTTTGATCAACAACTTTGCTAAAGTGTTTGAATTTGTAATGCATGCTCGCATCTTTTCCCATGTTTCGCAGCACTTGTCACCGATGCAGCATGGATTCATTACAGGAAGGTCGACTGTCACGAATTTGATGATCAAGACGCAATATATCTCAGAAATGTTTGACAAACATCTTCAAGTTGATTGCATTTATTTGGATTTTAGCAAGGCTTTTGATCGCATTGATCATCGTATTCTACTGCATAAACTGGAGAGTTTTGGCTTTTCCGATGGTTTGCTTAGTGTCTTTAAATCTTATCTAAGCAACAGATATCAGTATGTATTTTATAATAGTTGCTCCTCACGTCAGTTTCCACAGACATCTGGTGTGCCGCAGGGCTCGGTCTTGGGACCATTGTTGTTTATAATGTATATCAATGACATTATAGATGTTTTGGACGTTCCTTCCTTGCTTTATGCAGATGATTTGAAAATCTTTTTTCGCGTACAGTCATCTTTGGATTGTATTCGTCTGCAAGACAACTTGAATCGTGTGTTGGTATGGTCGGAAAAAAACAATTTGCTGTTAAACGCCAATAAATGCATCGTCAAGTCATATTCGAATAAACTTTCAAATGTTGTATACAACTACGTCTTGGATCAAAAAGTCCTGCAACGCCCTGATTATGTATGTGACTTGGGTGTCACATATGATGCTAAATTAAGTTTCCACAAACACTATGAGGTTATCTCGACATCGGCGCATAAATCATTAGGGTTTGTTGTTCGCAACGCGGCGGAATTTAAAGATTTTGATGTGCTAAGGCTTCTCTTTTTATCATACGTCAGATCCGTCTTGGAGTATGCGTCGGTGGTATGGAGCCCTTTTTATCAAACCTACATTTCTCTGTTGGAAAAAATGCAGCGTCGATTCTTAAAATTCCTGTCTTATATCTGTGATGGTGTTTACCCTGCAAGAGGAATTCCAAATGATATACTGTTACGTAGATTTGGCTATCAGAGTTTGGTCTGCAGGCGAAAAGCAGCTTCTATCTTAATGTTACATAATATTTTAAATTATCGTATCAAATGTGAAGATCTTCTTAAGATCCTAAAGCTACGTGTGCTAAAACCAGGTTTAAGATCATATTCTTTGTTGCATATGCCTGTCCCAAGAACAAACATATTGAAATCGTCTCCAGTATATCAAATGCTTCAAAACTATAGAGAGGTGGAATCGGAAATTGATATATTTAGTACTTCGCCAGCAAAAATTAAGCAGTTTTTCAGTGTCTAATTCTATAATAACTTAGTTGTTTTTGCCTTTATTTTCTAGTTTTTATTCCTCAGTAATTGGGCTCTCAGCCTGTTGAGGGATTACTCATAATAATAATAATAATAATTTGTTTTGCATTATTAAATTAATAAAAAATAATTCCGGTTTATATTTGACTGACCCTCGTATCTGGCAAATTTCTTTTGTGACATGTTAAAGCACTGAGAAAATTTCATTTTTAAGTAAATTTAAGATTGCCATTAGTGTTACTGAAATAGAAATTGTATTTGTTATTTTATTCTCGTAGTATCATTTAACCGAAAATGCTATAATGTTTTTTCCTGTTCTATTCTAATCCTGTCTTAAAGGTTCAATAATAAATCATGGCGTATTGTATTTATCTACGGCATATCATTTTCTACCTTATTATATTATTTTTATACTCTTCGAAGGATATTAAGCGTGAGTAATTTCTACTCATAATTTCCAAGGAAAACTATGTGGACGTAGTAAATTGTGCGTGGCTGTTACAAACACACTTAAAACAACCCATAAAGATTAAAACACTTTTTAATGACAAACAGTTCATTAAAAAAATTTTAAGCCGACTATTTTCCAGTAAAGCAATGTTTATACAATTACTATTTTTTTTTTAAATATTCATTATTATCATTGGAAGGAGACAAACATAAGTGTTCATTACATACACATGATATGGTTATACATATAGCCAACAATCATTACATTGACATGTTCCTAATCGTGATCGGAGTTACTGTTGAATGAAATTTTTGGAAAAATGCATTGTAATCTCTAAATACAAGTAATTTTATTTGAATTTATAAAACTTAAAAATGGTAATTTGTAAAAGTTAAATTTTATTAATTTTGCTTCACCGGCCAATTTGTGTCAGCTTAATTACGAACAATGACAAACAAAATTACAATACAAATATTGATAGTTTTGCTTACCCATATTGTACATATCGAAAATCAAACTAGTAAAATGTATACGAATATAAAATGTATAAATGTTTGCCTTCTAAAGTGCATGACATCTAGCTTTTTAAAATACTGAGTAGGTATGTGTGTTGCGAAATATCGTTTCCCGACACCCGTTGTCTTGATTTACAGAAAATGACAAGATTGTGTATGAAGAGATGAAACAAACTGATAATATAATTAAGATTTACAAATAATTTTACCTGTAAATTGCATTATAGAAATCCCTGCAAAAACACAGCTAATTAAAAACATGACGCCACCAATTACACTGCAGAAGAGTCTGCCAAAGTTTATTATTTTATCACCAACATTCGGAAACAACTGGAACGATATTCGAGTCTGAAAGGTATGCGTGAATAAATAGACGTGTAGCGTTAGTTACCTCAACACGAAAAAAATACCTGCATACACTGATAAACAGAACCCAGACCAAACGCAGCAACAGCCCCAATTAAGTGTACCACCAAAGCATTTGTTTCTTGAAAATTACCAACAATACATACTCCGAATGCAGCAATTAATCCTAAATATAGTGATATTTTATTATTTTTCTTTATCGTCATTGGCAGTTGGTTTTCCTTAGTCATTACGAACTGTACTTGACGATATCGAATATACATTATTAAGGCCTCTAAAACATTCCTTACTATATTTACGTACCTATATTAATATATTATTGGGTGCCCCACGAATCAGTTTAAAACAAAACTTAACATTGTGAATTACACGACTCACACAATGGTAGTAATCGATTACTATTATTTGAATGAGCATGAGAAAGTCAAACCTTGTTTCGTAAAACACCCGGTACAAATCGTAAAAAGTGATAACCAAACATTTGTATTTGCAAAGTTAAAAAAACATTTTTAACTGCTACCACTTAATTGACAAATCTATATGCGCAAGCTATAATCGTATCAACTACAACACTAAAGATTTAATAGTAACCGGTCATTATCGTTTCATTTTCTCTCAATACGATTCACATGACTATTGAAAGATTTTAATAAAGCAAAATAAAAACTTCAAAAAAGAAAAAAGACGATTTCACGTAACAAGAAATAATTAAGTTATTTATAAAATTGTTCACTTAAATTACACAGTTACGTGCAATGTTAAACATCAAAGCCACTTATTTTAATAATCTTGGTTTTTGTTTATTTACGCTAAAAATCATTTACTTGAGGCAACCAAATAATCGTCTTTAAATATAAAAAGGACTTTGATTAATTATTACAACAAATTTTATTTTAGAGCAGAAACTCTTCAAATTTTAAGAAACCTCTTTCTCTTCATTAAATAAATTTGCAGTCATACAAGTTAAGTGACAGATAGAATCCGATTGAGTTTTTTTTTAGGATGTGGAAAATTGAAACATCGATTTTCCGTTTGAACTGACCCTGACTGTAATCCAAGAGGCACAGAAAATTATTGACTCTAACATTACATGTCTTAACATGCAACTGCAACTTACGAATTAACGCCCCAATATTCAGCATTATTCCAAAAATACAACTTTCAGGTGACCAAGTTCCAGTGTCACTAATATAAGGAAACAAAGGAGTTACATCTTTTCTATACACCGAAATTATATATCTAAAACAAATTTGGTAAAAATCTTTCATTTTAATTTTCATATATGCATCACTTAATACTCACGTTAGTATAAAAGTTACATAAAACCAAACGGCACATATAATTGGTAATATGTAAGAATAGTGGAAAGGCATGCCTACCAAGTTTTTGCTTTTGCCGTCATGCACCTATCAATAATCTGTATGGTAGCACATGTAGGTTGCTACTGATGGACAATAGCCACGAACATTTTCCATGAGTTATAACAACAGGTGGTATCTCACGGGATCTCTACGACAATGTTGTACTGGTACTAATATAAAATCCATACTTACATGTATTATTCCTAATCATGTTCTCATTATTAATGGCTACATTATGAATCGCTATCATTGACTAGTCATTAAACAAAACATGGAAACAAAATTTTTACTGTGTTGTGCTAAAACAAACGAAATATTTATAATTCACAAAGGTAAATAGATAAACTACCTCTCGACGTATTTCATATTCTTTGCATCTAACTATACACTACTACAACACTAATTTAATTTACTACCGTATCAGACGCTCAGAAACAACAAAACATCTCCTGCAACTGAAATCAACAAATCATAATATTTTGATGAGGTATTGATTAACGTTCAGCTTAGGGAATTGACATAGGTTCAATAAACTCCTCCAGCATAATTACATTTATTATAATAAACTAAATAAAATGGTTGTAATGAACATTATCAGTAAAATATATATGCATCAAAATATTAAAAAAGAAACAGTATCGTCACAAATTGATTGATAATAATTTTTTGTTTGCATGTTAATTTAAAATATAATTTTGAAAAATATATTTGCAATATTTATCATAGCATGTTCTTAGAAGATTTCTGAATATTTTGTTACTTTTAGTTTGTTGTTATTATTTTTTGATTGATATTAAACAGTATGACTTTATTGCATTATTCCACAATATCTATGAAATCAGAAATTCTGTAGCTTGGTATTTCACTTTCACTGTTTAGTGGTTACCCAATATCACAAATGCTATTGTAGTTTCGTGCGTTAAACTGTTTAAACTAAACATTAATGGAACTCCTCGTATTTATCTAGCGACTGGTTGTATATCACAGTCAGCAGTTAAGTACAACAAAATTTACATATTAACACGGTTAATTCTAAGTGAGGTCACTATACTTTCCAGTTTTAAGTAACGTAGTTTAGAATGGTTCTGATAAAAATAAATAACGAATCCACTTTATAAAAATATTAACTTAATAAAAACTACGATGTTGTAAAATTATAATGATGCCGAATTTATTTTATTAACAATAATAATAATAGATAAAAATATTGAAATTCTGTATACATCATGGTTTGCAGCTTGCAGGGGGAGGCTTAATTTAATACATTGCAAATATGACGCATAAATGATGTCAGCGTCTCAACGCAAACCTATATTTTTTTAAACACAACGTCGGATTTGAATGGATCATTGAATTACAATGAAACACGTACGTGTTTCATTTTCAGTCGATAAAAAAATAAAGTTTATTAATTTAAAAAAAAACTGAATTGAATGAACTAATAGTAAGTTTTGCGGTCAGTGCAACATATTCTTATGAAATGACTGTTTTTGAAACAGACCTCACTAATTGTTTATAAAATAAAGTAATAGTAGTACTTCATTTTACTCAATACTTATTTTTTTTTATATTCACATCTTTATTTTTTTACACGTCCGTCATATTTGCAATGTATTTACTAAATTAAGTTTCTCCCTTCAAGCTAAAAACAATGGAGAATTATAGAATTTCATTATCTTTACACGTTTTCAAAATATGAGGCTGCGGAGCTATATCTGGGACACCTGTATATTAATGTAATCTTTTTTCGCAACTGAAAAATAACAAAATACTAATGTACATGTAGTCTTTCAACACATACTGCAATTTAAAAGTGTGTATATACATACCTTTACAATAAATCTCCCTGGAAGGGTTCACGAAAATTATTCTACTCCTCTAAAAATAATATCATATTTATTAGTACCTACTTTATTTCTTAAAAACAACACTCATGTTTTACGTATTATTGTATCTAAGATTCACTCATTTCTAATTAATTTTCATGTCAATCTTTGTGCGCTAACAATATATTTAAAATTTTTGTCAGAAAATAGTTAGGTACTCATTAAATTAATTAAAAAATAGATTCAAGTACACTAAAGTAAAATAGGTATGTATTTACAATTACAGTTATACACCAAAAACGTTGTACGCAACGCAATAATTAAAACTGATGGCTACAAAAATAAATACACATATACTCTATCATAAGGTACTAATTATTTATTTATTTATTTATTGATTTTATTTTTTGATGAAAAAATCTGCTTTCCGAAGCTCATTCCAATGTCACCGGAAAACTGTTCTGTTAGATTTACCTATTAGATTATCAATTGATTTTTCGTTCTTGCATATATTTTTACAGTTATCAGTTATCATCCATATATAGCAAGTGACATAACCTACTTTCTGTTTTGGTGTTAATTCTTATATTGAAACCATAATTGCAGCTGTTCAAGATGTGGGATTATTATTATTAATTGATTTTATTATCAAGTTAAAAAACTTATAAATATCTCTTCGTATATTAGTGGAAAACGACGTTAAACTTCATCTCTTCGAGTTAATTTCAACCTGTACGTAAAATTTGGCGTAGGTACCTATTCACAACCATGAATCATACTCCTCCAATTCAATGGTTGATCTATTCACAAAGGTGCGTGTTATGTTGTTGGCTCGTAGTGTTCAGTATCTGAACCATGATAAAATATCGCACCAAGACACCCGGTCTAGATTTCATAAAATTTTCCCACAGTGCAATCAAAAATCAAATATACCATAACCATAAATAATAATCGTATGTTATTTTTAGTTTTAGTAAGCAGTGCTGGTATGACGAAAGCTTCAGACCTCACGTAAATTAACAGCTATATCTATCTAAAAAGTCAAACTTTTAAACTAAACTCATTTCAACTAGCGAATCACAAATATTTTGCTGTAAATCTAAGGAAGTAACTCAAAAAACACAAATGTTATATTGACACACAGACTATAGACATGTCAGTTTAACTTTTCAAAACTCTTCAATTATTACATTAAATGATACTGTGCAACTTGCACATATCCATTTTGCAAGTGTTTACAATAAAAATTATAACTGAAACAGTGGAAATTAGAGCTAAAATTTCCCTAATTAAGTTAACTGGATATTTTAACTGACTATTAATAAAATTTAATTTAAATATATAATTTGTAAACACTGATATGCTCTGTCTATAGACAAATAATGTGATAGTACCAATCCGATGAATTACCAACACTGTTGATTCCTGAAAATTTGCTACAGCCCAGGTATGCAATTGATCCAATAAAAATAACAAGCGTATTCATTTTGAATTTTTTTATAAATAAATTTTATTTATAAAAATGTTACCTACTCAAATATACTAAAAATAAAAATGATGGAAGCTCTAATAAAAGTTGTGAACGAAGTTTCCTTTAAACTTGCGGTCAAATTTAACATTAATCCAAATACTTACGTCTGCAACTTTCTGGTAGGTACGCTTAAGAATCGCAAATGGAATAAAATATGTTATAAATATGTTTAAGATAAATAGCGACTAGAAATCTGAACGTATATTTTATTCCTCAATAATAAAAAATCAATACTTGCATTACGGTCATGCCACATTTATAACACTAAATAAAAAACGAGGTAGGTATTTTATTATGCTTTGGCGCTTATAAATAAGTAATACATTTTTCTCGATTTTACCTTTGCATTGCTTAAAAGTATAGAATTTAAAATTTGAAATGAAGTAAATGTCAGTGTCCATCCATTATCATATAGAAAGAAGTTCTTAGATATCACATTATACATGCTTAAAGAAAATCTAAATATAGCTATACTGTTTTATGATCAATAAAACTCTGACATTTTTGGGTCACATATCAATACTGAGCAAAAAGAATTTTTATTGATCGTGTTAAAATTATCTCAGCAAAAAATACCTCTTTTTACAGAAATTTCCTGTTAGTATTTTTATCTGTTTAATAAATGTTGGCGTCATTTTATTGTGGACGACTTTGTTGAGCAATTCATTATTGTTAACCAAGACTGTCCACTATTTTTTGCTGAATTTTGTTTCATTAGATTACCTAACTACATACTGATATTTTCGATTCAATTTTTAAAAAAGTTGTTTATTTTCAAACGTCATATAACTGACACTTATATGACGTTCTTACCGGGGTTTAAGTGTCATTTCTATGACAGCGTTTTTGAGCGGCGTATAAATAGAACTTATACTCCGCCGGCGTATAAATAAAACATTTATACTCCGCCGGAGTATAAATATGTGAAAATTATAGTGGTTGTCAACCATAGTAACCATGGTAAGTGAAATCAAGGCAATTCGTTAATGAAGCAAGAAGATAGGAAATAATCATTTCAAAAGAAGATTAACCGTTTGAAAATAAAATATTGTATGTATTTCATTCGGAGTTTAAGTGACTTCATGTGACTCGTGTGGACTTAATTCGCCTCGCTATCACTCGGCGTTTAATCGTCCATACTCGACACATAAAGTATCACTTAAACTCCTAATAAAATAAATATCTATTATTTTCAAACATCATATAATTGACACTTACATTACGTTGTCACCGGGGTTTAAGTGTCATTTCCATGACAGCGTGTTTGAGAGGCACATAAGTACTACTTATACTCCGGCAGAGTATAAATAGAATACGTTTATGTGAAAATCATCGTGGTTGTCAACCGTGGCAACCATGATAAATCAATGCAAGGCAACTTTTTAATGAAGCAAGGAGGCAAGAAATAATCAACAGTAAGATCCCCAGACCAAGGAACGTAGCGAACGACGGAAATTTGAAAAAATTATCGTCAATTTCCCCCGAAGTCGAGGGGTCTTTTGACAGACTATTTCCTGAAGAAAATTTCACCTCTTAGTCGAATTTTCATTCCTAAAACCAAATTTTTAAATAAAATTTAGATACAAATCAATCCTCTGTATTTTTATCACCATCATATCATATTATAAGGAAAATGTGATTAAAACCATTTGGAACACTGTAGCAAAGATTTTGCAGGAAAAATATAAGGAAGAAAATAATGTGGTGTTTCATCCGTTTCAAGACGTAATTTTTGCAAGCGCTCGAAAAGCTCATGCCGCCAAGAGAAAGGAGTTGCAAATGAATCCTGAAAAGCAAAAAATGTTATAAATAATTATTACATTAAATAAAATTAATTGTTTCACCATTGTTATTGCTTTTATTAATAAAAATATTATCGATTTTTTTTATTGGTTCAGCACGCAAATTGTCGCTTTACAATTTTGCTATCGTTGGTTCACACAGGGAACTTATCGATCGATATAATTATAAGTTCCCGCCTCTCAAAAATCTTCGTGTAAGTCGCAATGGATTTGCCAGAATTTGAAAATTCTATCACTTCCATTGGTTGAAATTTTCTGACGGAAATAGTCTTGTGTCTGTGTAAATGAAATTCTTCGATTATAGGAGTTAAATTAAAATTTTGAATAAGGAACCAATGGTTAGACGAAATTTTAATTTTACCTACATAATTATGTAGTTTACAGGGATAGGCATATGGGTCATGAAAATTTATTTCGGTTATTCTGTTGAGGATGACCCATTTGGAACAATATTGATTAGTTTAGCTTCTTTAATCTAACCATTATTATTCTTTTACTTCTTGTAAGTTGTTTTTTTTTTTTTCATTATTTCGGTCTATTACTTATTTTGTTCTTTAGTTTTTGATTGTTCCTCAACTTCTTTGTATAGAGCTTTTGTATTGTTTTGATTATAATATTCACATATTGAACGAACACTTGAGTTGACAATAAGTTCATTGGGTCGCGCATAGTTTACTAATTCGTGTGGAATAAAACCTGTACCTACTTGTATCTCTGGTACTACTGAAGTGCGCGACGATAGTATACATACAGGGTGTTATTGAAATGTACGTACAAGAAAACATTTCTTCGCGAAGTCAAACAGTCTGAAAACCTCATTTTGTGTTATCAAAATTATAAGGGGAAAATTCACCCTTATCCAACCTTTTTAGATGCTACTGAAGGATAAATAGGTAAAATTAATTTATTTTAGTAAATCCTAGCAACTGTAACAATAAAACTTTTGTCAAGACTAAATGTTGCTATAGAAACGAAAGATGATCTTTTTATCAGAGGCGTACAACGAATTTGGACATAAATTTTAATAATATTTATCTCTAAAAGGAGAAGACTTTTACCTGAACTTTTTTTAACTTTTAGCATCCATACCTCGAGAGCAATTCCCGATTTTATTTTGTACGTACCTTTCAATAACACGCTGTATAACATTAAAGAAATATTTCCAATTTATTATCTTGTTGTTTCAATATTCTTAAATGTTCAATTAGTGTCGAATGCAGTCTTTCTCCAGGTCCGTCGGGTTCCTTTAAGTATTAGATGCACTGTATACTATACTTAGTACCTATCACGGTGGTCTTATGTTCAATTTTAAAAAATAAAGGTTAATAGGCATATTGAAAGTATGCAAACGTCAGTAATTGGTCATTCTTAAATAAAGCAAAAAAATTATTGTGTTTGGCTGTTTATACATATTTTTGTCATTTATTTTGTGACAATAATTCAAATTGACATTTATATTAGTTAGTTTATTTTTTTTAATCAATAGCTAACATCCAATACACTGATCTGTATATATTTTTTAAAATTGAAGTTAGGAACTAAGGATGGTGGGATTTAATCACAGTTAAAACAATGTCCCTATATATATATAACTTTACTATTGTGTAAAGTGATGTAAAGTATGATAGTGTATAGTAAATAAACAAAAAATATAAAAACAAAGGGTTATTTTATTGAGATTAATAAAGTCATAGCATGCAACGTTTAATTACATTCTTCTAAATTAACGACGTAGGTGATCGACAATTAGGGCAAGTTCTGTGGGTGATTAACCATGCATTAACACATGCAGTGTGAAATAGATGCTCACAAGGAAGTGATACGATCGGAGTAGAAAATTCTGATACATCTGGATCCCCTAATACTTCCATACAAATGGAACAAACTTCAGTACTTGACATATTTCGCTTTCTCATGCCTAAACTAATTAAAAAAAATATTTGTTTAAAAAAATTTGGTAATAAATACATACCAACTAGGCGCTTCACTCCCTGTAGATCTTTGTTGCAATGCATGAAGAGTACCGCAACGAGAAGTAGTATAATCATAAAAATCGACTTCCCTATTTTTATAAAAAAGATAGACCATTACTCCAATGCTGACAATTGCCATAGCAAAGACAGAGATGCCTTGAAAAACCATCGTATGTGAAGGATATAAGGAAACTATAAATATTGCCTGAAAAACTAAAACACTACAGTTTTACATTTCAGGATCAGTTTTCAAATGAATGTGGAGTGAAAACCGATCCGCAAAACGTCAAGGTGAAAGCAAAAATAAGTGGCCGCACAATGTAACGTGGAAGGTAATATAAATTTCGGAAAATTCAAGTTTATGTGTGCACGAATTTAATCTATTTTTTAAATATATTTCTGATAAAATAAATACAAATAAATTTAAAACTTGTTAAAGTTAATAAGGCGATCTTCGTATGTGATAAAATTTTAGAAATGATTGTAATAAGTATGACTGTAGTTACCAATTTCAAAGAATCTCGAAATTCTGCTACAAAATTTATCACCGTACCCCTTTTGTGTGGTTGTACTTACTTTTCACTTACAAAAAATTGATAGTTCTCTTGATTTTTATTACAGTCACGCCATCGCCGTATTGGCGTCATACATTTCAAATACGGAGTCGGTAAAAAGTATGGAACTACAGTAAACCCTCGTTACTTCGAACTCGGTTAAGACAAACACCTCGTTATTACGAACTGGAAGCGAAGTCCCAAACAGTCCACTTATAAAACGAATGCAACTTAATTCGGTTTACACGAAATTCGGTTAATACGAAACTCGAACAACTTTTTCGGCCCCAAGTTATAATTCTCATATAAAATCACTCGGTTAACGCGAACAAAAAGTGCAAACTCTTTGCATCGTGCTCAAATACGATTTACTTTATCTTAATGGGTATCTAGTAAGCACAACGCAAAAGTATGTCTCTGTGTGGTTTACCGAGTTGTAATCAGTTCGTTCTTATTGTTCAATGTGCTAACGTCCAAAATGCCATAGCAAAAACCAAAACGAGGCCAAAAATCCATCAATATTAAAAGGAAAATGCAAACTGCAGTAGCTAAAATGTTCACCATTCCAAAATCTGCACAGTCCACCATTCTGAAAACCCGATCTCAAATAAAAAAAATAGTGTTGGGACCATTTGCGTCAAATTTTTTCACAAAGTTGTTTAGGAAAATTGATCCATGAAATTTTATATGTATGTAGTACTAGTATTAATGTTAAAAATTTGGGTATGTATTGTTAGAAATCTAATACGAAGAAAATTCAGCTTAAATAAGTTGTTTTTGTTATATTTGTGTTAAAATGTCAAAAAGTGATTTTCGGTTATGGCGAATTCGGTTAACACGAATTGGTCAAGATCATGGTCCCGACGGGTTCGTGTTAACGAGGGTTTACTGTAATGCGTAAATATTTTGAAAACCATTTATAGTATACAGTGCATCAACTTTGATAGAAAATGTAAGCTTTTAAGACACTCGAAGATAAGGCTACTGAAACAAGATTTTTAATGATTTAAAAAATCTATTACATGACGTTCGATAAATACTAATCTAAAAAATTGCTCTAATAAAGAGGGAGAACTAATTCTAAACTAGGTGACCAGAAAATAACGTTGCGAAAAGAGTACCTATAATCTTAGAATAACCCAAAATTTAAGTAGGGGCAAGCAAAATCCAAAATACATAGGGGCTAAATATTTAGCTAACAAACTACATGTCTGGTTTCCATGCCCAAAACTGTAACCGGAAACAGAAGACCTATTTTTTCATACCTGTTGAGTACTAAGAATCTGGGTTGTTTCCCCTTCTACCTCAGATAGCATTCTTATCACCAACCGCCCTGAAACGGTCAGTAATACAAGTCAGTAACATCTAGACATTCAACCAATAAACACAAAACCCAAAATACAGTCTGTTACTCAAAAACACAATCAAACACATCCTGAGCTACAACAGTCAACAATACCTACCTTTGGACTTTATTGCAATACTTCCTTAGCTTACGCTCAGGAAGTAAAAAAGAATCGACAGGATAAAAAAAAATATTTCCTACATCAAAAATAAGAAAGAGTATAAAGTATCTGAATTTGAAAAATAGTATTGGTAATGCTCTTAAAATTAGTAGATATAGCTACCCTATCTTATTTATTATCAGTCAAAACCGCAAATAAGAAACGAAGACGAAGACCAAAATTCATTGAAGATATGGAAGGAAACCAAAGACAAAAGAATGTTAAGATGAGCATTACAGAAAATCTTAAACACCCAGGACCTCTATATGATACGACTATAATTACAAACTTTCTCGGTAATAGACAACAAAAATTTTAACTTACATCAAAAGTTGGTCTCACGTTGACGAGAATTTTAGGTGTCTCCTTGAGTACCCTTGTGAACAGCAAGCGATAACAAAGCTGACTTCCTCAGCGGCAAAGACATTTTTTATCGATTTCATTTTATATGTACCTACAACATAATAAAAGTCTACTCTCAATGGAAGTAATCTTGCACTTGGCAACAACTTGCCTTCAAAAAATGAAAAAAAAAAAAAACAATTTTCATTTATTATGATATCATAAGTACTCAAAGTTATGTAGAATATTTTTGTGGTGGTGTCACGAATAGTCATTACGCTTCGCACTCGTGGTATTTCCAACTGTAATACCCATGAGTGGAACTACACTACTAGTAACCTTAGTAAGGCCCCTTCGGCACACAACACTTTTTTAAGAATTTTTGTCCCTTTTTTCAAGGTACCCTTTTTTAAAAGTCAGAATTTTAAGGAATCTGTCCCGCTTTCCAAAGGTGAATTCGATTTCGGCCAAAATTCACCTTTTATAAACACTTATAATGTTATAAATTTTAAAGATTTTGTCTTGTTTTTAAGATAGGCCACTTCAGCACAAACATGAATACGATTTCGGGCAAGAAAGTTCACTTTTTTAAAAACATTTAAAATTCGTGTTGAATTTCAAGGCATGTCGACCTGTTTTTAAATTTGTACTACATATATGAGGGTGTTCAGAACAACAGTTAAAATATTAAGGATTCTGGCTGGCCTGAAGGGTCTGTTGCAGTAAATTTTGCGATAGGGAAATACATTCATGCAAACTTTGGCTTGTTTTACAGAAAAAAGTATATGCTCTATCACAGTAAGTTTTATATTGCTGAAATCTGCTTAAGAGAGAGAGAGAGAGAGATCTAGAGATCTCTGTAGTTGCATTTTTGAAATTTTGTCTTAAAATTGACTTTTGACGGCTTAATTTATGGCGAAAAATTACATTATCCAGAATATGACATAACAAACAATAAAGATAAGTAACATTATTTATACCGTTTAAATGTGTGATAAGCATGAATCTGTCACATTTAAACCGAAAACCGTTTTCCTACAAACACGAAGTTATTAAAAGCAATTCAATTTGTTTAAATATTGTTAACTTAACCCCGAAGATGTGCAATTCTCCGGCCAAAATTTGAAAAATAATGTTTGCAATCTCATCGTAATGTACGATGACGTCACTGTCACGTGAGCTATATGAGCAAAGGTCAAGTTTTTCAGTTCTTTGTGTTCAGTTTTGATTTCGGTCTGGTGACAGCAACATCGGAGCATTTGGAACCCTGTTTTGGCTTAAAAGTAGTACATGTTCGCGAATTTCTAATTTGTTTTTAATAAACACAAGTGAACATGTTTGCGTTATTGCTGTGAACATGAAAGAAAGTGGATATTTTTCCAAAAAATCACGAAAACGAAGTATGTACGATTTGAGCTTTAATTTATCGGAGTCCGTGATTCGTATATTCGACAAATATAATAATAATATAAATTATCATGACATAATAAATAATATTTAAACATAATTAACATTATTTATACCATTTAAATATGTGATACGCCTTAATATGTCATAATTAAATCGAAAATCGTTTACCTACAAACATGAAGTTATTAAAAACAATTCTATTTGTTTAAATATTGTTAAATTAACCCCGAAAATGTGCAATTCCCCGTCCAAAATTTGAAAAATAACTTTTGCAATCTCATCGTGACGTACGATGACGTCACTATCACGTGAGCTATCTGAGCAAAGATCCTTTGTGTTCAGTTTTGATTTCGGTCTGGTAGTAGCAAGATCGGACATTCGCAGCTCCGCTTTGGCTTAAAAGCAGTGGCGTAACTACCGGTGTTCCATGTGTTCGTCGGAACACGGGCCCGCGTCTTCAAGGGGCCCGGCCCGGTTATTAGATTTTTTCATATTATTGGCCAAATTACATCCCGAAATAAAAAATTCGAAAATGTGCGGGAATTCCAGGATCGATTGTTCATTGCTATTTACGAATTTTTTGCTGCAAAGGGCTGGACTTTTGGCGGCATCTCAATATCCTAAACTCAATAAACTCGGGTTTTAGCGACCGGCACCGGCGCATCTGTTTCTAATAAACCTGTCGCAGTGTCACAATCCCATTGTGGCATTTCTAACACCCGATGTAGTAAATTACCAATCTTTATCCGACAAAAGTATGACGAATTTATGATGCAGAACAACAAAATACTTAAATTTTGTCCTCAGATCTTCAGTGAAACTTCATGCTGTAATACGACGTGAAAAAAAATTCAGCTTCAGTCGTGTTTATCAAACCTTTCATATTTTAAAAACTATTTTAATTTTGTACTTGTGGTGCTTTTTTGGAATAGTAAAATATATCTAATGTATGTTACAACTAATTTTTTAAGTAGAAAAAAAATTAGACTGCGAAAGTATTACAGAATGGCCTAGCTGCACTAGTTTCACTGAAATTATCATGTTTCACTTTTCTTACAAAAACGCTTTCGGTGGCTTCAGCGGAAAGATCTTTTTCGAAATTAAAAATGACTAAAAATTTTTCAAGAAACACAATAGGCCAATGCAGATTATCTTCACTGAATCTGTCAATTGGAAATCAAATTGCCAGAAGTTTAGATATGTCAAATTTTGTATCAACTTGTGTCCATTGGAAAGTGTAATGTATTAATTAAGGCGTAGATTAAATGTACAGTAGGTTAAGTAGGAAGTAGGTCAATAGTAAGATGTATGGAATGCGACTGCGCATAGCGTAGGTACTGATGTTTCTTGGAAGGACTCGTTCTCTTTGAGACAGACAGTCGAATAGGTAAGACATAAACTTGTAAGCAGTTCAATAAACACAAATCAACACATGCTCGTTTTGTTAATACTTATCAGAAAGCAAGAAGAAAACAATTTTGAGATAAAAAAATGGGCATTTTTATCTATACTTCTATGCAACCCAACATACATGAATTATCCTATGTTCAGAGAGAAAAAACCTCACAGTATACTTACTTATATTATAAAGCTGAAGAGTTTGTTTGGTTGAACGCGCTAATCTCTCGGAAACTACTTGTTCGAATGCAAAAAATCTTTTTGTGCTGGATAGCATCACGCTACGATCAATAGGTGTGGAGTAGCAATAAAAAATATCGGAAAAAAGAGAAAATTATTTCTCTTTTCACAGCTTCCGCTATGATGGAATTGTTCAGCATATGTCTATCTTTTAAGGTCGACTCAGTATAATCTTTTTTATGGTAATGAAATTTGTTCTAAAATAATCTAATATAAAATTCTGGTGTCACAGTGTTTGTAACCAAACTCCTCCGAAACGGCTTGACCGATTTTTATCAAATTTTTTGTGTATATTCGGTAGGTCTGAGAATAGGTCGTAAACTATTTTTTATACCCCTAAGTGATAAGGGTGGCCCAATAATTTTTCTTCTTTAATTTTTTGGACAAAATTTTTTATTTTTATTTTTTTAAGATTTGGCATCGAAAAATACTTACCCTAAATTTTCACCCTTCTACCACCAACCCCCATTTTTTAATAACGATATGAGTATTTTGCTTTCATCCACAGATGCGCAGTAGGGTTGCAAGATGGCTGTTGAATATAATCATTGTCGTATGATAAATTTGTATGTATAATTTATAATTTAATTTAATTATATTTATATTAATTCGATTTTTTATTTAACTACCAAAATATTCACTAGAAACGCCAAAACAACATTTCCCGGATCGGCTAGTTTCTAACATGTACAGAGTATTACCACAGCATAGATAACAATCAGTAGGGACGGCTCGCCGTTTTTCGTGACCCGTTTTCGTTGGTGGTCGTTCGCTTTATGACCGAATGAGGGCGCCCAACTGACGTCTAAAATATTTGAAATTTGGCAGTTTTGTTACAATATTTTTGCCGGTTTTGCTTGTTTAAGACTGCTTTTCCAGTAGAATTGTACAAATAGTATAAAAATGTAATTTTCACAATAAAAGGTAAAATCTTCGTCCGATGAATTTTCATACAGGATCCTTGTTGTGCGCCTGCCTTATTCTCTCCCTCGTGTTTGGAATTCTTGGAAAAGATAGTAAACATAACACACTTTTTGTTTAAAAAGTCGTCGCAAACGAACAACAACGGTGGCTATGAAATAAATATAAAAAATTTATTATATATGATTCCGTTGTTGTGGTAAAATTTAATATAAAAGTAATAAGAAACAAACTACACGTAACAAAAAATTATATAAGCAGACCTTCACTCAATAAACAATTTTTTTATTCATCATGTATATATATATTTTTTTTTGACCTACACAATCTTGAGTTTTATTTTGAGACGTTGCTTAACCCATAAGCAGTCGCGCGTGGGTAAAAATGACCCAAGCCGTACATTTTGTCAAATATCTTTTTTCGCTTAATCCCTATGGACTTCCGGTTTCATGAATTCCTTAATTATTCTTACCTGCGTCGACCCATACCAATTACCTGCACTTTATGCGAGTCGACAAATATGTATTTTTTTTTTTGTAATATTTTTTTGAAATTTTAAATGAAGTGATACTTTTTAAATTGGGTGGCGACATCTAGGAATAGTTTAGGCAACGACCATCCATGACGGCTTAAAATTCGGGTCAGAAAGAACAAAGGCGCCGACACGAGCTGTCCCTACTGATTGTTATCTATGCTGTGGTATTACACGAATGAGTACGAACCCGACTGAATTGGAAATGCAACCCAAAATACACCAACCAGGCTTACATGGATATTTTTTAAGTTTTATAAATTCTTTTTTCAAAAATAAACATAGTGGACAATTTTGGCTTTTGTTAACTTTTGACAAAAAACATCAATTGATTTGAAACTTCAAAAAGATTTTTTATTAACATCAAGAAATTGCAAAGAGCTAATCGTTGTGCGCCGGCTTTAATTCTTGCACTACGGTCAGGTGATAGGGATGAAATTTGTTGACTTTCAAAATCCTGTTGACAGAAGCTATACTAACACGTACTGCGGCGGCCACTGTTTTTCGACTCACGTGAGGGTCATTTTCCACCATTCCTAAGACAGCAATCTATCTCATTTTTGAGGCCGGTAGCATGCCGGTAGCTGTACTCCGCCTTGGTTTTTTAATTGGTGGCTAACTCTCCCGTAACATTTCCAGCTTTTAAAAGATTTTGTTGGTAGGTGCTCTTTTCTGCGGACCGCATATATTCTAGCTGCCAAATAAGCGTTCTTCCTACATTCCCCATAAATGAGAATCAGATACGTTTAATCGTTATTTAAATACATTTCAAAAAAAAAACCACAACGTAGGTTCCCATTTGTTACACGATCACAGCCAAGGCCAAATTTTGAATTTTTCGCGGGTCTTTCAACATTTTTCAAGGTCAGTTTAAAGGCGGGAAGTTTGGGTTATTACAGTATATCTCTTTATTCCCCCCAAAAAATTGATGACGTCATGTCAAAATTTTGGCGAACAAATACTATCTAAATTGTGCAAAATATGATATTGTGATTTATCATGGCATTAATATTTTTTTAAATTTGCATGAATACATTAATTTATTTTATGGATTAAATCAAGAACGGTTCACTCCCTTTTTCCGAAAATCTTTTGGAGATATAATACGTTATTAGTACTACTGCACCAACGTAAGTTGAAATACGTGTTCTTGCAAAAATGATGATTGACGTCATCACAAAATTTTGTAAAGTAATAACTTATTTGAGCGTAGCATGCTTCTTTACATTTACTTTAGCATTACATATTTACATATGTTTATTTCAAGGGAAGTTCTGTGGAAACAATTTTTGACGAATTTTTAACGTTCATGAAGATGACACCTTGCGGTAATAAAATTTACGTTCGCTTAGCCTGACCACAAACTTTCCATTTTTATTTCCCGAGCGTAAGCTAAGGAAATATAGTAATCGAGTCCATTGCCACTTTCATATTTTCTCGACGTCTCATGACCTCTATAGTACGAAACAAGTGGTTTCCGTCTGTCTGATGTCTGTATCCATTTTATTAGATACATAATCTACGAAACTACTGGACCGATTGTTGTCAAATTTTGTATGCTTATTACGAATATCATGTAGATGGTTAAAGGCTAACTAAAATTTGAGTAATGAATGACGTCATCTCCAAAATTTATAATGTAAGTTTTTTTCACTTTATAAAGTAAGATACTCCTGCATTTGTGGTGTGTGAATGCGTATCGAATTTTCACTCTAGACACCCAAATTTTTGGAAAAAAAACAATACTGTATAACAATATTTTGGAATTTAACTTTGAAACTGCAAAATCGAATGCTCTGAAATCGTGTAAATATTTTAAGGTTATCCTAGTCATGGTAAATCGTTAAGCAAAATTTATTCTTTTACCCCTTCCCAAAAAATGTATTACGTCATCTCAAAATTTTGCCAAAAAAATCCTCTCTGAACTTATGCAAAATATTATTACTGTATACTTGAGGTTTATCAATGCACTCATTGATTTTAGAATTACTTATATAGGATGACTGAAAAAATGAATGAGAATCAATTTATTTTATTGATTAAACGAGGAACTAAACACAATTGAATGCTTTGAAATTGACGTTTTAAACTTACCTCAAGCATGGTAAATTTTTAATCAAAATATATCTGTTTATCCCTTCAAAAAAATTGATGACGTCATCTCAAAATGTTGTCGAATAAATCGTATCCAAAATGTGCATAGTCAATACTTGTGATTTATTATTGCACTAAAAGTTTTTAAACTGCTTATACAGGGTGATTAATAAAATAAATGAATGAATCAATTTAGTTTATAGATTAAATCGGGAACGCCCACTCCATTTTCCAAAAAAGTTGGGAATACAATACTGTTATCATTAGTATTACATGCCCCTATCCAAAGTGACATGTATCTTTACAAAAATGTTGATGTCATCACAAAATTTTAAAACTCATTTGAAACGTACGCGCAGCATGTTTTCTTACTTTTACTTTAAGTTACACACATATCTTTATTTTAACTTATAAGGGTTCCCACACAAAAAAAATTAAATTCGCATAATCAATTGGATTTGTTTTATTGTACTTCATTCTGTTAAAATAACCTTCTACCATTTTTTTTATTAATCAATATCCTCACTTTCCTAAATCAAAATTAACATCTGTACGTGTGAATAATACACCATATTCAGGACGGTCCTATAATACCAGCGTCGACAAAAAAATACACAATTTATATATGCGAGACACTAAACGAATGTAAAACACAATCTGCCATCTAGTGCAGCTGCACAGGGGGGGGCTTACAAAATTAGAGGAAGGTAGGTAATAGCCAGATGAGGGACTCAACCGGGTAATAAGAGGACAAACCGCTAGCGCAGTGATACACTTGAAGCTTGAGTCCGAGTAATTAACCTTTAGATGGCTAACTGCAAAGGGGTACTTTTTTCTTTAAATTCACGCATATTCACCAGTGTTCATGCTGCACATTAAACGTAAACCACAACAACAACATTACAAACTCAATAAGGAAAATATTGAGAGGACAATAATAGTTTTTGAGGTACATGCAGCGAAGACGCGAGCCTATGGAGGACTTACGTGTCCGCTGTCTGCTAATAGTAAAGGGGCCCAGGAACAGAAACAGTGCCTCTTGTTAAAAAGCTGTAATGCGTTTTTAAGTTTGAAAAATCGTTATACCCAGACACATAATTTTTATAGGAAGGGGAAAAATTCACTACCCTACAAAACCCCCTTTTTGCAACAAACAGAGCAAAAGCAAACAAAAAAAATCCAAAAAGGTAACATCATGAAAAATTGGTGCACAATATAAACTGGTGTACTTATTTAATGTTCATTAGGTTTCAAAAAAAAAAAAAAAAAACTAAACACAAAAAGTGTCCACACATGTTTGTCATATAACTTGCTCACTAATATCACAAATTTAACAGCACGTGTTGTAGAAAAATATTGCCATATTCAATACCTACATACAAAGACAAAGAATCATAAAACAATATCTGCTACCCTTAACAATAAAACTCTAGATTTCAAATCAGTTATGTAGCTCCCTTAGCATTCCTAAAGACTACTTATTACTATACCACACTTTTTCCTATTTTAAATTAAATTCAAACTTTGTTCATAATTAAAATCACACATTTCAACGAAAGTCAAAACAAAATTTAACAATTTGAGAATACATTAATCTAATGTATTCTCATTACACACAAATAATTATATCATAATTGTATTATTTTTTTGAGATAACATACTTAACTGCAAAACATGTAAATAAAAAGTGGACTAGACTAGAACCACATATATAACCTAACTGAAAAATGTGCCCAACAAAGCACTTGAGTTAAAACCCCATATTTAAATATTAAAAAATATATAGGAAGTATTATACTACCCTACGGCAAACTGGACATGTTCTACTTTCTTTAAACCATTCTTCAATACAATCCTTATGAAAAGAATGCTTGCATGATAAATGTCTGATATGACCCATCAAAGTTTCTTGACAGATTGAACATTTATCACCAAGTGATGATCTCCTGCGTTTTCTAAAATGTAAATTGTATATAAAATTAATATAAATGCATTATCCAAATATACTAACCGACACGTGTCGTCTGTAGGTTCATCTGAGGGTGGTACATAAGTATAAACATGTGATCTACTTTGACTATCTTGTGTATAAGCAGTGTTTTGTTGGGTATAATATTGATATGCAGCAAAGCCAATTCCAATAAATGCTGCTATAAGTAATGCTACACCTTGATAACCCATCTTCATACTTTCACTGTCCCACCATCACAAATAGTCTTAAAATGTGGTAAGAATGGCAGACAAATGAATTATTTTTTGATACATTTAGAAAACCATAAATGTCTCATCTACAATCAATGAATAACTGGTGAATACACTTTAAGTTTAATAATCAAACCACAGTAAACCCCCCAAACACTTAATCTAATTTCTGCCATTATTATGAAAATAACAAATAAACAATCAACTTTATTTTTGACAGACGATTTCGCTTAACCTTACTTTTACTCATACAAATGCAAAATAAATATTATACAGATGTTATACATATTCTCTTATTAAAATAACTTTATTTGTAGAAATCTTACCTACAGATTAGTTGCTGCAACAAACACCCATGTCTTCTAACAAAAATCGAAAACCGTTGCATAACAACAACAATATAACTGTCTGTCAAATGTATGTCAAAGAACCATGCGTCAATGTCAACCGTCGAATTGTCCAATCAACAACTACTCGTGATGGGTATTTTGCATGTTTTCTACATTATATTGGCGACCCTTATAACTATTTCACCACAGTATTTGACATTATGTTTTTGACAGTTAACCTTAATCCGTAACAAAACAACGAAACTACCAAAATCAAAGAATACCCGGAAGATTAATAAGAAGTGTAATAATTCACTTCATTTAAGCTTGGACTGTGTGTGTGTGTGTCAATCGCTGCTGGGGAAATAAAGTAAAGTGACATTTAAGTCAGCCAAACTCCGCTTAAATACCTTTAAAAAGTTTATTTCGTTTGTTTTTTCTTTATAACTTTATCCAAATTTAAAACATGACCAGCCGAGAAAGACGAGCAAACGCCGGTAATCGGATGGCTAAATTGTTAGATGAAGAAGAAGAATGTCAAGATGAATTTTATAAAACTAATTATGGTGGTTTTGAGGACACAGAATCGGATAAAGAATATGAGTATGGCTTGTGTTGTGAAAAATTGTTTTATCGTTCAAATCATGTATTTTAGAGAAGAAGAGGAAGGGGAAGACGTAGTTGATTCAGATTTTAGCATAGATGAGAATGATGAACCAATTTCTGACAATGAGGAGGAGGGGCAAAAGAAAAAACGAAGATTAGTTACAAAAGCTTATAAAGTGAATTGTATAAGGTGTCTTTAATCTCTTTATGTGACCGCTATTTTGTAGGAACCTGTGGCAGCTCCTACAAAGCAGAAAGTGAAACCAAAGCCTGCAAAGCCAATTTCAAGACTAAAAACAATTCCACATCCATCAACAGATTATGGTAATATAATGTTACGAGAAATGTGACTTTACATGTAAATAATGTTATTGTAGAAAGAAAATCAATTAGAAAATCCACAGCAGCCAAATCAGCAGCAACAGCTCAAAGAATTAAAGTGCGTAATCTTGAACAAAGAAAGAAAGTAAAGAGACCCAAAGAAGAAGAATGGAGACCAACACAAGAGGAATTATTAGAAGAAGCAAAAGTTACTGAACAGGAAAATTTAAAATCATTAGGTAAGAAAGATGGCGGTGCTTATTTTTCCATTAAATATTGGTTTCAGAGAAATATCAAAAAATGGAAAGTGAGAAAAAAACAAAACGAACTGTTAAGAAAGTTGTAAGTGGTCCTGTCATACAGTATAGGTCAACCAGGATGCCCATCATTGAAGAAGTTGAGACCAAAAAGAAAGATGTCAAAACAGAATCAGCTGAAAATATTTGTGAACGCACATTCATAACAGTAATTAACGACCCTAATGATGAAACGTTCAATACAGTTTTTGAAAAAAAAACTGCACGGTCTTTACCTCGAAGGCTTCGATGTACAGTGACTGGGTAACGGAATAATCATAATTCATTTATTTGTTCATCTCTTTTTATTTTTGTTTTTTAGGCATGCAGCAAAATATGTTGATCCTAAAACCTGCTTACCATACCACAGCAGTATGTGCTTGAAAATAATTCGTTCGGCATATTACCAACAGTTGGAAGCTCATGGAGACAGAAATAACCCACTGGTTGCTAATTGGCTAAAGTGGTATGTAAAAAATAAGGATAAACTAAGAAGGGAACTTGCGCTAAGAATTAAAACACATCAAATTGATCGTAACTGATTTATTAATTTAATAAAATTTTTCTAAGAATGTCTAGAATTTTCTTATTCACATGGTAACCTGATGAAGTTTCACAAAATTTGTAACTGAAGTTTGCACCTATTGCTTTAGAAATAAAACAACCTTCAGTTAAAAACTAGAAGTGACGAACGCGGATAAGTCAAATGACTTCGAAAATGAAATTATTGTATTTGTTAGTATTTTGATTAACAAAGTGATGTCACACAGTAACACCATTAGTGTTAATAAGAGTAATGAAAAAGCATTGAAAACGTTTAGTTAATGAATTTATTAAATTGCTGGTGCACAATAATACATTACCATAATCTCAACAGCCAAAAATAGGCTGAAAATTGGCATATGAAGTACAACAAAAATTAATAACATTAAATATTATTAATATGACACATAAATTACATCTACTTTAACATATAATTATATAAAATTAATAGGTATTCGATAAGCTACCTCATTAATGCCTTTATTATTTTGTTAAAATATTTTAGCATAGAGTATAAACAATGCATATTAAAAAAATAAGTCAATTAACAACATTTCCGAAATTTGTTAATTGATTACTGTTTTAATATACAATCCGTTAAAACTCTGAGAAACCAAATTAATCTCTAATCTAAGTACAACATTATGTAAATATTTATAATAATTAAAAAATCTTTAAAGTACTCTCAGCAAAACAATTCATGTCCGAAAACAATTTCATAAAATATTCTCTAAAATTGCACATGACTGATGTAAAACTATTGCACACGAGAAAAATTCAACCCCTGTTACAACAACAAAAAAAAATGAGTATGTTTTGATGTTTATTTTTTATTGCTTAATCGACGAAAAATCATTTGGACGGAAATATATGAGACATCCGCACATAACAATTCAGATTTTATTGCTTACTTTGCGAAACTTAACATTAATAATAAATAATATAAAACACCGCGTTTCATAATTTTTAAAAATTAAATCGATCTCTTTAAATGATGTATTTTAAAAATAATTTTACAACTATAATAAAAAAAATCATCAGATTGTTGTCCATCATTACTTTAGATAATATCAACATGAAATATTTGTTCGATCTTTCCATAAATAACATGTGTTTTAAGTAACTAATATATACCTACCTTAGTCAACTTACATTGCAAATGTTTCTTAAACTGATCGAATCGAACAGGAAAATTCAGTAAGTACTAATCAACTAAGTTCAGTTTTAATTAAAACAACTACTCGATACTAGGTGCCACCTAACAGAATTTTCCTGCAGGCTAAATTATAATTGTCTACAGCGATAATGTTTATTTTTTACATGTGCATGATTAAACATTATTGGCACGCAAATAAGTTTGTACTTTACAGAGAAAATTATAACAAGTATTAGTAATCCACTGGATACCGACAATATCCACGATCTTCATCGGCATATCAAATATGCCACGTGAAAAAACAACTCAAGCAAAACTCTACGGACGTTTTAGCAATATAGTGCAGATCTATGTCGAGGTATTTGAACAGAAAAGTGAGATTTAATGTTCCGTGTAATTTTGCTAAGAACGTAACAAACACATTGTTATGTTATTGCTTCCAAAATGGTAATTTTAAAGTTACGTTTCCTTTAGTACACAGTGCACGATGACGTAGTGAAATAAAATGTTAGTGATGTAATGTTAGACGTACCGCTACCTCAGATGGTCCGGTGTTTCCGTTAGTGGAGTGGCGCAGGTGACAGGTTAGCACTCCAAGCCTACAGGCCGGGCAACCAGGTTAACAAGAAAAGAAAAGAAAACAGTTTGTTAGTATTGTATCATAGCTATACCACGAGCACAAATTATTCATTACGTACTTATCCCAGCGTCACAGATTGGCTAGATTCCATGCCATCATTTCATGCTCGTTATTAGAGGCATAATCACCTCAATGATCATGCACTTTAATCGTATGACGCTGGGACAACATTAGAGCAATTTATACATACACATAAGATATTAAAATACTTCATCTGTAAGTGTATAAACCTAGCAGCGGAATGATAGTGTTCTATAGACTATATTAAAATACGTGCTCAGATTAAGAAAATCGTGTGCTACAGACAAGAAGCTGAAGACTTAAAAATCCTTGCAACATATGCCTCAGTGTGTTTTACGTCATCAGCTTCTTTCGGAAAATTTGAAATAGGTTTATAGTGTATGTACCTTAAATTATTAGAAGGCGTTGTTATTAAACTGTACAAAAGGTTAATTTGCAATAACATTTTAATATAGTGCTATGAACACAATCACACGTTATCATCAACCATACATTAGTTTACTTGGCCATGTGGAATTAGAAGTAGTTATGAAATCTTGTGGAGAAGTGTTAATGCATTATTAGAAGTTAATAAAAAAAAACTTTTATAATTCATTTGCACGAGGGTAATAAAAAACTGATTGAGTTTTATATAAATATATTTTGTTCCACATTGGCGCAAGTCAACAACATACAAAAAATATAATATACTATATAAACGTATATGTATAAAACTACTTAAATATATTCATGGAGGACAAATCCAGTGAATGGATCTGTCTACTTATAACAATAAGACATACGCAAATGAAAAATGAAAAAAATGCTACACAACTTTTATCCAAGAAAGAAGGTGCGCTTTGAAATTTCAGACTAGTTCTTTCACATGTGAGGTACGAAGTTTGAACATAGTGGTAACCTAAATTGACCTTCTTCCCGCAATTTGCAAGTAACCTGTCGATAGTACGTACGTATGTAGAGTCACAACCCGCATGAAATTCTCAATACTGACAATAATAACGGCTATTCATCATCGAATATGATTAAAATAAACAGTAAGCACTGACTGACGAGGCAATTCTAAAAATAGGGAATACTACAATTGATACATCAAAAATCCACACTGAGACACACATGACTGGCAAACATCTGTAAGAAATAGAAAACAAAACGTAACTAACCTTTTCGGTTTATGAAAGAGCACCAGCTCTTTGGTAAGGATGCTCCCTTATTTGCCCCAAATGCCTGCGCTGTTTCGCAGCTACTGCCGCTGCACCTATACAAATCATCATTTAAAGTACATGTCAATACAAGCAGTCTCCTAAAAGGTGATGGAATTCAACACTCTCAATATGGTTGCAAACATCAAATCAGACAACATCTATATAAATATTTCGCAATATGGTTTTGCAAATTTTATCTAGCAACTTCACAAAAAAAAATTGAACACAATTAATCACTGATTGGTAGTATAGTTTATTCGCTTTCAATATACAGAACCAAAACACATTCCAAATAACCAGAACTGATTGTCAAACTTTATAAACCGTAACTAAAATTTATTTATAATTTTTGTTCATTGTTATGTACACATTCGTATATTCTAACATTTAAATTATTTGGCGTTTAAAGTTGATGCGAAATAGAAATCACACTTATTTAAACGAGATATACATTCGATGACTTTTTTACCTGTGTTGTTCAAAATTTCCTGTCAACAATTTACTATGACCTTTGTGATATGGCGAAGGTTTTATTAGATCAATTTTGTAACGTTATTGCTACAAAATCTTTGTTCATACGTTAGTTGGAACAATTACATAAAGTTTTTACGTTTTAAATAATTTTATAATTGTCAACGAAGTAAAAAAAATTACAAATCACCCATAATCTAAAAATATTGTTAATAAATTCAATACCAACAATCTCTTAGTTCCATATATTGAAAATAAATAAACAATAAATGCAAAAATTAAATATATTGATATGCTTCCAAGGTGACATGAAGAGTTGAAGTAAACTAGTTATGTAGTTGTTGGATAACTATTAGCAATTATCCATTAACTTGAAGTTTGTCTGGTGAAAAAATTACAAACCAATGAACTAATAAAAAAGCCCATTTCAAATGATTGGCCGTCTCAACAAACATTAAAAAAAATTGAAACCACATGCACCTACAATTGAAAACAGTCGAATTTTGGGTTGACTCTGACTGATGTGCAGTTGGTAATACGACTCCAAACGTGTCACTTTGACAGCCACCATTTGATGACATGTTATTTTATTGATTGTCATTCTGTTTGCTCAACTAAATCAAAAATTAGATTTAAGTAATTTCTACTCCAGAGTTTCAGTATAATGTTCGTTTCACTAGCCAAAGTTTTTCTTCTATTGATTATAAAATCAATATCATGGTGTGAGGGACTAAATTTGGAGTATCTGCAAGTTCGTTATTAATTTTAAACTTGTAAGTTTATCTACTATCAATGTTGGCCAATACAATTGAAATGTCTTGCAGGGTAGATATATCATTAGAAAGCGGCGGCCATGAACAAATTGAACATTAGCAATCTATACTTACTATTAGTACTGATACTTAAGTCTGTAGTCATATTTGACAGTATTTCATGGTTCGTTTGTTCAATGGCTGCCTCCAAACGAAAATTTAATTGATCATCCTACAGATTGCTGATACACATTGGTTTCACCTTTGAAACATGTTTACCTATGCCTTTTCATGTATTTACACGTAGTTACAATTGAGATTATAGATGCAGTTTTGATTTTGATGCAAGTTCACGCTAAATCAATCTACTTGATAAAATACAAAAATACTAGTTACTACTTTGTAGCTACTAAAAACAATTAAAGCACTGAACGAGTTTTATGGTTACTTTATGCAGTAACACCCAAATAATTATATTAATAATAATAATAATAATAAATAAATAAAATTGTTCATAATGATCGATTCGTTCGCTGGTAGTAAAAAAATTAAAGCAATTTGATTGTTCATAATTTGTAACAGTATGTTCTATGTACCTTTTAAGTACGTCTAAATGAAGCTATCTTAAGGTAACGTAATAAATGCTTTTACCATACAAACTATATTTCATAAATCATTTAAAATATTTGTATAAAATTAAAAAATATGTACACAAAAATTGTAATATAACGATTTGTGTTTACTTTTAAATTAATAATTACGATTTCTGTAAATAACTTATAAAAACATTTGACTATTGTTTGATTGACCAGATGAGTACGTCAGACGTACGTAGTCTCAATAATAAAATTAAAATCTAAAATAAAAAAATACACCTAGATGCTATGACTTGCAAATACAGAAAATTAAATAATTTTTCATGTTACGTACTTTGAGTACATGTAACAACCGGCTTTCGCGGCAAGTATCACAGAAAAAATGTAATTAAAATAAATTGTGACTAAACAAACCATCGGCGAAAAAGTGTGTTCTGATTCAGAAAACCGCTATCAGAAAAAGTGACTAGATTTTCCGAACCAGTTCGATGGCGCTTATACTTATCAGTAATAATAGTATTGAGTAATAATAATCCCTACAGACAATGACAATTACAACCTAAGTACTAGATAATAACATCTAACAATTCGCTCATCAGCGTGCGAATAACCCACCAGAATGATCGGCCGTTGCATACTCCGTTAGTAGGGGAGACGCTGCCAACGCGGCGTAATTCGTGTAGTCTGCATATGGTGTGTATATAAGGCCGTGGGGATCCCCGGGGGACAACAGGGAACCTGGGGGGGCAGAACCATTAAGAATGGATGCTGCCGTAGTTGGTACTGACATACGGGGCGAGAGTATTAGAGGAGCACCTAATGGTGTGGCGGGAGTGCGAAGGGGTGTGGCTAGACCGGGGATAGCTGGTGACAGCAATCGTTGTGTTTCGGCCGCAGCCGCCGCCACACGCCTCCATTCGTCGTCGCATGCTAAGAAAAATCACTCCAATTAATAGAGAACAGCGACTGCTTGACATCATGAATGATCACTGCTAATTGCTAGTTATGGAATAAATTCAAATCTGTTTGACATAATTGCGAAATTGGGAAAATAGGTCAAGGTTTCTATTGGAAACTGCTATAATATCAGTGCAAATAATGCACTCACATTTTTTCATTTAAGTCTGTCAATTGTGTGCCTTAAATTTAGTTATTTTAACTTTCTAACAAGTTGAGCTCCAATTTTTTAAACAATAACTTTTAAAATTGTTAACTTTTCCTATCAAATTCTTTGCTATATATGTATAGCATTTCAGATTAAATCTCTTTCATTTAAATAATCTCGTACTAGTAAAATTACACTTCATACAACAGACTAGATGGTAAATTGAAATTGTTTTCATAATGTTTGTGGTAAATAGTAATGCGTATTTTTACAATCACTAACAATTCTGTGTAATAGTGCGTAACTGTATTTGTTAATGGGAAGCATTTTAAAAAATATCTGATGATGGAAATTTTATTTTCCTTTTAGTTACATTCCAAAATTCACAAAATAAAATATTCATAGCAACTTTGTATTGTTTTGTTTTTCAAATAGAAAACTTCACAGAAATTTGTCTTTACGCAATGCGTTGGTTTACAAGATGCCAACACACCACACATCATTTACAAGCCAATGCTCTAGGCATGGTAGGGGTAAATAGAATTTCAAAGTTTCAGTATTAAATAGTAACAACTCGTTTGAAAGAAAATTCTTTTCATTTTCATTCTGATTCAATTCACGGTAAGACATAGGAGATAATACACGAAATTTCAATTAAATTAACAATTTTAAACATTTACTTCCATTTTAAAAAGTGTTGTTATTATTACATTACGTTTTATACCTCAGCATTATACACTAACTGTAAATACATAATACTTAACTGCAGTCATTTTTGATTCACATATAAAAATCTGTGTTTCCAATAGTTTTTCATCAGTGACAATCTCGACAGTATCAAGCAAAATATTTAAAACCTATTAAGATAAATCGATAGGATAAATTAAAAAAAAAAACTTTAAAACTTTTTGTTACACTGATTACCTAAATTGTTCCCGAATTTGCTTGATAAACGAGATAAGAAAATTGTTACTTTTGACTTTCCATTTAAATAGTTTTAAAATCAATTTAATGTTATTAAAAAGATGTCTTGCAACTTTATTATTATTACTGACTCCTCTGTTAATTAACATAACTATTTACTAGTGTGTTATGTCATATTTTGTTTTTACATGTAATTAAGTAATTAAACAAGTTTGTTGAATTTAATGTAAAATTTCGTTCCGCCGACACTAGCAGTTTTTTCCGAATAGAACCGACCATTATTTCAGATGATTTTTTGCTAACAAAGGTCGAAAAAATAACAAAACAAAAAACTTTTTATTTATAATTACGTTTGCACTGTGATTGCATATTCTGCCATTTTCTTAGTTCTTTTAATACTTGATCACGCAAATTGAATTTATTCCATCCATAATCGAGTTATTATTAACTAAAACAGTTACCTGTCGCCGAAACGGCCTTAGAACTAGAATCCCTATACGTTCCGTTTATTATGGCAAGCTCCATCAACTGTCTTTTCTTCAGTTCGTCTTCACCATCCGCTTGCTGAAATTAGATCGGATTTAAAAGAGGACACAAAAAACATTTAATTTGTTAACCAGATGTCGAATGAGCTAAAAAGTCAAAACAAATTCCTATATGCAATTGGTAGTTTTTAGCGGTTAGTAATATACCATAAACACTCATGTTCTGTCTTTTAACTTAAGGTATATGAATGAGTCATACACTTAATAAGTGTCTAATATAAACAGTAGACCTTTACATCGCAAATTATATTCAGCGCGGCCAATGTCACACTTCTCCATTTTAGGAAATTAAAAATGGCGATGCTTTTGTTTTTGTCGAACGTAGAATTTTAAAACCTGTAATTAATTTTTATGTTTATATTCAAAAGTGTGTATGAATTTTGTGGATATTAATATGCAAATTCAAAGTAAAATTGAATAAAATTTACATTAAAAAAAATATTCATCAAGAGGAAAAGCAAACAACATCTCACAAACTACTTTCGGTTCCTTTGTAAGTAAATGTTAGAATCACTAATTACTACTTACTGGCACTAATAATTTTTTTACTTCTTCTACTGCCCTTTGTAACTTAATTTGTGCTCTATTTTCTGTATCTTCTACTGTTAAAAGTACATGCAGATCATCTGAAAGGTGTTCCCAGTTGGGTTTTCCTCTGTTTTGATCCTCCTAACAAAAAAAAATCTTATTAGTACGTCATTCCAGTCGAACGGCGAAAACACGAAATACACAATTCCATTCTGTGCTTACTTACTCATTCCATTGAACGAATGAAAGCTGTTCAGGAATAAAAATACGTTAGTATAGAATTTCGGGTTTAAAAATAAGTTCATTTCACTGATTTTCAGACAACAGAACTGTTTATTTAAAAACTATTTGTTTTTCTTGTAATTCAACTTGGAACTAAAACACCTGAAGTCTGAAAATTACTATTGGAATCGCGCCAGCATGACTTTCAAAATTTGTAGATCAACAAAAAAATACGAATCATCTACACCTTCTGCCGTCTAATTAGCGAGAATATCTTCCGAGTTAATTAGTCAACTAGCTTATTACTTGCGTGAAAAACCAACAAATTCAAGAGTTAAAGAAAACATCGCGGTCCGTAAACACATTGTTGCGTAACAATCCTAACTAGGTAAGAAAAATACAAAAGAATTATTTAAGTGACATTATCCGTACACACCTTCTTTTTGTCTCTCATCGAGCCCTTCCCTCTAACCATAATTTTGCAGCCTGTTTCTTGTTCTAACTGTTTAGCTGTCATTCCTCGAGGCCCCAGAATCCTTCCCACGAAATTAAACTGCAATCAAAAAAGTAATTACAGAACGTACTGTATGGCAAAATCTTGATGAATTTTTAATTGAATGCACTTTTTTAAGTCAGGGCTAGACGGAATTAATAACACTGTTATGAGTTAAGAGTTTTTGACAAAATAAAACCATCTCATATGCATTCGCACATACAACTGTACTGCTCAAATTATTACAAGAATGTGAAAAAGAAGTCATGAAACATCTTAATTTACAAACAACCACCATAAATTTAACTCAATATGAAGTAGCCATACAAATCTCCATGCACTACATAAATATACTATTACATAAAAATAATTTTTGTGTCGTCTTATTCTTCTATCTTAAAAACCGTAAAACGCAGGTTATGTGAAATTAAAAATAAGATTTTTTTGTGCTAATCAATAATACATCAAATATGTAAATTGGAATAATAATAATTAGTCTACTTTTAAAATCTGAATAACTACTTTAAATTTTACTTTGGTCACTACGAAGTTCTGAACTTAATTAATATTTGTTTACAAGGTAGAAATAACAAAAAAATGGTGCACCTACCAGGATTTAGATTAAAATATCAACTTTGTTTTTGATGAACACAATAGTGTATATTATCTTGAACACTTAAGTTAAGAAATATTTATATTATAAATAACTAATATTTAATGCCGTTTAGTTATAAGCTTATAAATTTTTTTTTTAATCTTAAGTATTCCACATGTCTCGTTTTATAGATTATTAAGTTCTTCATTTGTTGCTTTAGTAAAATACATATATTAAGGTCAAATTTATTATTCACGTCAAATTTTAAGTTCTTAAAAAATTTCAAGGATTTGTCTTAATCTTTTGAAAGAGAAAAAAAAAACGCCGCTGTGCACCAACGACTTATAATTTTTTATATCCAAACATTATTTTGTAAATTACAAAATTGGAACTCAAATTTCTGACACTCTAATAAAACTTTTCTAAAAGAAGTTACCGTTTTGGTGTAAAGCACGGAAATCTTTTGTAAAATAGGAACAAATAGTAACATTGTAATTTTTTGACAAATGTAATGTATTAAAAATTATGAGCGAATTTATAGGTGTAACAGGTAACAAATTTTTATTATGACAAATTAATTACTGCATTATTATTTTTCAGTGACAAGCTGCGGTTAATTAAAAGTTATTTTATTGCAACTTGTTAATTAGAACTTAGTTGTCGAATTTGTAATAATGATTCTAAATATTTTTGGTCACCGGTGGTACGGTACTTAGTAATAACACACTTTGTATATGACACATATAAACAATAATTTATCGGCAAACTTAAAATCAAGTTAACAACACTATCATTAGCTTTAAAATGACACTTTTTATTAAAAATTGCGTACGTACAAACTTTATACAAGAGATTAGGTGATGTATGCACAAACAAGTGAACTGTAAAATTATTTTTTCAAGAACAAAATAAATTACGAAAAACGTTACCCTTAACATCTAGCAGTGTTATCTGAGCGAACTACCTTTATGGTGCCAAATTTTATACAATAAGCTGGTTACTTACATCTGGATGCTCTTTAACTGGCACATATACTTTTTCTGTGAGTGTCGTAACAGGGCCATCAGCGTCTGGCAAAATAAGAGGTTCCTTCTTCACTCCATTTATTTGAAAGAGACTAGCTCGAACTTTTGCAATTTCTGAAAAAAAAAAAACACAAAATTTATACAAATTGACAACATCATTTGTTTGCATAGTTTTATTACTCTCATTTTATATTATTCAAATTGCATTTAGTTGATAACCGCAGTTTTTTTATCGAATAAAATTATTTTAAAGTTTAGTCTTTCTGAATTACATTTTTCATTTTTAAAACTGAAATTTTTTTGGTATGTTTCTCCCAAAATTTTTAGAAGGAATGATATGGTTACATTACATCATTTTTCAGGACTTCATACAATTACCGTAAAACGTACAAAATTAAAAAGAAATAATTTTAATAATGAATCCTTCTACCCATTTTAACAGTATAAAAAGGTTGTGAATGATAATGTTACATTATCACCACTGCGTAAACCCACAGTATAATATACATCAAATTAACATCTAACTTTAACTATTATTACTATTACTTAATTTTTCTTAGTACCGAAACTTTCTGTTGATGTGTAGAACCTTGTTCTAAAAAATCGAACTGTAAAATAAGTAATTACGAGAAAATAACAAATCCTACGTATTTTTGGCATTAAAAGGTTTAATGCAAAGGCCGGCGACGTACCTACTATTTAAGCGAATAAACCAGCAGCATTACACCAGACATGAATTAAGAGAAGCATGTAATTGAGACTAATAGGAAAATGTTGCGGCCGTCTCGCCTGGATAAACAATAAAATCACGCAATCTCACAACCAAGGCGGATTTTTTGCTGCTTTAGAATTACTGATCATTGAAGATCATCCAAAACAATACCAAAAATCTTATATTCTGTATACTATATTACCATATTGTGTATATTTGTTATACTCGAAAATGTTAAATGTGCTATATGGTAGTCATTAAAATATTTCAAACAACAATATTTAAAATAACAAAAGCAACACATGTTAATTACATCAATGCTGTGACAAATGGTAAAAACATAAAATAAAATACAGCCTTAATTTAAGTTTTATATAAGAAGCATTATGCTGTAAAACGATATTGTGTGGCTCTCCTTGAAGTATTACTAAATCTACCTCTGCGACTAATCAGTGGGTAGTAAAGTTACGAACTACGAGGTGCCAATGGGTGCCCACACGACGTTAAATACTTTCTTTTCCTACATCATTGATAGATCAGGTCATCGCGGTTACCTAGAATCTATTCATAACCAAATTTGTTGCGACAAGAAAATCAGATTTTTAGTTTTAAGGTTAAAAATATACAGCATAGTGCAAACCTAATTTACTTTGATAGATTTAACTTGTAAAACGAAAATTGGTATAATAAAAATTCTGATGAAGATGGAGATTAAATAATACATTCAAAATGTACAAACGAATTAATGTACATCAACAAAACTGCTAAGATCAAGTTTATTGTTTTCATTTCTTAAGTTCTAAAAGAGTACAAAAGAATATTTACCTCAACTTTACTTTATTAAACTATGAAACTTTGAAGATATTATTTTTGAAAGATTAAAATTATCAGATAAAGATTTTTTATACTCTAAAGGTATTTCAAACAACGCATCATTTCAATTAACAAGCTCATAAACATTTAACTCAAAACCAAGACCGTTGCCAAATATTTTATCCTCTAAAAAATACTTTTAAACTATAATTTACAACTCTTCCATTGGAAGAGATACTCAATTTATATTACTTTTTTCAATGTTCAGAATCCGTTTTGTACAGGCAATACAAGAAAATATATTTTTAAAAATTTTAAGGAGATCAATGGGACAAAATTTCCATTATTAAAATGTTTAATAATTTCCTTAAAAAGCAAAAAGAAATTTCAAAAAGACATTGGAGTACAGACGATAAATAATAACCAAAAAAACGCACTTTTCAAAAATACAACTGAAAAAAATTGTTATTAGCAACGAATTTTAACTTTTTAAAAATCGAATTATAATAGACACAGATGCAAAACGACAAAGATTTTATTAAAAATTGTACAGATTCATATACTCCTTCTTAAAAAAAAGACTTGTTTTTGATAACCTGCCAACTTCGCTATGAAAACTCAGAGTATTATATACTAGGGTATACTAGGGCTTTATACGGAACTTAATATAGACTGAACAATACATAATTAGCAAATATTTGCACGCACGCGCAGTGAGTCAGAAACATTTTTTTAATTTACTTATCCATCACGAAAAAACTTACCAACAACCTATGTAAAAAGAGAAACGAAAAAAAAAAATTAAAACAGAAATAGAATGGGAGCAAACAGAACAAAATGCTAAAAATTATGAAGCGTTCATATACCTATGTAATTTGAAGCACTTATTTTGTCTTCGCTTATCTTTTCTTGTAGTATGAAATTTAAAAACCTATCCCTCATATTTTGTTTCAAATAATAACAAGAATTTAGAAAGTATTAATACTAAATTCTTAATTGCTTTTTAATTATTTTAACAACCGATACTTTTACTGATTTACAATTTTTTTTAATTCGTGATATTTTTATATAAAAAAATGTTAAAACTTATTCCAACAATGTTTCTTATTCTTGACGTCAATTCCAATATTTTTTCTATCTTCGTACCGTTCGATCAACAAAAAACGGCCTCAAATTGGCGTTGGACGAGCAAGGTGTCTTGTCCAATAACAGAGGGTAAGTGACAGCTTGCTCGTTCAGAACCAATTTGAAGACGTTTTTAAATATTTAACAATCTACTAAATAGGTCTGTGTAGCACGTGAGCGTTTTGGAGTTTAACAAAACAACATTGTCCTAAAATCTATAATCTCTCCAGTGTTTATTATCGACTTAAATATGAATAGAGCTACTGAATAAAACAGGTTCAATAGAATGTGATACTTTGCTTGTGGTAATGTTACAGTCAGTTTTGCAAACAACTGTTTTGTTTATCTCTGCAATAAACCCTTCCATTTTAAACAAGTCTGAATACGCAACAACATTTTGTAATTAGTGAGAGTAAGATAAAATCGCACAGGAAAAGCCCAGTTTACTAGCAATGAATAAAACTAACGATCAGCACTGCAGAAAGGAAATACTTGTACTAGTCAAACTCAAAGTACTTAGGCCTAAAATTAAAGGAAGCGTCACAGTCGTTTTTAAATTCAAATTTACAAATTGATAAGCGAAAACTATAACAAAATAGTTACCAGTGTTGTATTGGAAAAACAGAGATTTTAACAATTTTCGGCCCACCATGTGACTTATTATTGAATTAAGTGACATCAAATACAAAAATTATAAAATAGGAAATTTCAGTGTTTAAAAGCTATCAAAAATTCAACTTTTTCCCCAATCAAAAACAAATTATCTTCAGATTAAGAACATTTTGAACCAGTACATTTATTTGTCAAAATTAAAACTAAACTGTCATTTATATTGAGTCCACCATTTTAAAAATGTATGAATCCATTGGTAGATACATATCGTCGTATATTGGCAAAAGGATATGACAAGTTCTGTGTATTGAACACATTTTTTCACATATGTCAAGTGATTCACTGTAAGATTCAAAGAATGTGCTACTATCATAGGCAACTGTAAACCTCACAAAGCTAGAATACGTTCCATGTTGATCAGTGACTGACCAAAATCCAATGCCCAAAGATCGCCCAATTGCACAATGGAACATCACATCCAAAAACCCATCGGTGTCGTTTTTTAGAAAGTACCATGTCTTTATTGTTCCCGGTGTCGTCGCGATAAAGATAAAGCATAATTCGTGGTGCGGCGGACGACCCACACGTTGTTACGGAAGTGGGTGTGATGCTTCAACTACGGCTGTCACACTCAACGCCTTAAAACCCTTTCTTGAGGCATTGTGGTCACCAGGAGTCCCCTCACCCCCATAGCCACGCGAAAAACGGCCGTCCGGAGCCTCCAGCGAAGCTCTTGGGCTCCCGATGGCCGTTCAATCATTGTAAATGCTCACATGTGGCCCTGCCAGGCGGAGAAAGAGAGTCCGGATTGTTCCCACTGTCGGCATTGAGGTTACTGATACGTTTCCTGCTAAGAAAGTGTTCGACCGACTTCTCGACCGGTACTCGCTCACCTATGCAGTATATACCTATGCTATCTTGTCATTTCCGCCTCATCAGATTTGTATCTCGCGTGTGCTCCATTGTTTGTTGTCTGAGACGTGATGATGAAATGCGAGACAGTTTGAATTGCTTTTCTTTCTGGGGAAATTGACCGAACCAGAAGATGGACCAGCACAAAAGATAAAAAGTGCATTCAAAATAAATCAATCATTTGCAGAAAAATAGAAAATTATTACACGTAGGAAAGTTGGAAACCACAAAATTTATGGAATTTAATTGTCGTTGCAACACTAATTTTATCTGGTGTGTTCTACCACCGCTTCTTGGAAGTTAGTTTTCTCTTTGATTAGTGGTATTTTCAGGTTGACGCTCTTTGTACGTTGCCAAATTCACTGTTTCAAACTTCTTCTGACAAAATAAATATTAAAAAAAAATATTTCCCTAAAACTCAAGATACATCAACGAAAAGTGCTACAGTGTACTCAATACACACAACGAATCTTTTAAATAAAGGATACAAATTTATTGCTCAAATTTATATTTTTTTGTTAACTTGTTTGTAAACATCACTAGCCACTAGGTAACAACAATAAAAGAAATGCTGCTGAACTGAAAACATAAATTATAATGACGTGCCGACGTTACTAATGAAATCCGAACTTACTAAACGTGGGAATATTGTATGATTCACAAAACACACATAACGAATTTGATAATCGATAGATATATAGGTAATTGTCAAATGATGATGTTTTTGATTTCGAAGTGGTTTTAGAAAATCCAAAATGCCACAACTGCAAAAAACATACAGAAAATTTTGGAAGTGTTCGATGTAAATCTTCATTCGAACAAGAAATGAATCTGCATTATACAGCAAGAATGAGAATTTTTATATTAATTGTCAAAAATGAAAACAACAAATTTAGATTTTTTTAACAGTTTTAGAGCTACAATTAAAGCAAAACTGTAC